TTACTCCGAGTTACGTCGGATGACGACGAATGGGGTTCAAATGAAATGGAATGCCTATCGACTTTGAGTATACAAAACGAGCCAATGACAAAGAGATTCCATGGGTCTGCGGAATTAGCATAGCATATCTCCGCCCTACCTTGTGGGTATAAAAAGAGGATGTCGACAACATGCAGGTATGTTTACGCTTCGGACCCAAGAGTATCTCTTCACTCCACAGTCATTTCTGACTTCACCCTACGAGATGAGCCACTCTCTCCGGTGTTGGTGTGACGGCGATCTGCAGCGAGTTTTTTTCTCCTCCCACAAAAGAGATTGCACGCAGCACGTCTTTTTAAAGACGGCTCGGCCGTGCATTTCTGGTTGCGGTCGACTCATTTCCGATTTTGTGGGCACATTCTCTGCTCTGCGTGGGCTTGATCACGCTAGAGCAGCGTTTGTGGAAGACTCATGTTCTCCCCGCGGGAACGTGATCATCACGTCATTATGGTCGAGACTCAAGGATCTGGTTTAGAGAGAGAGTCCCCTCATCCTCACCCCAATGTACCACTCTCCAAGTGAGGTGCTACTTCGGCTGGTGGCCAGGGTGACCTGAGGGTGCGAGCATGGAACAAACCGCGACTGTTTGTCCGTGGACCACGCCCCCCTCTTCAGTGACGCAACCCGCATAAGGCGGAGATATGCAAATTCTATGTAAATTCCCATGGGTTTCAATGTCGAGTCTCGAAGTCGATAGGTGTTCTAAGTGAAACCCCATTCGTCGTCATCTGACGTAAAGTCTCCATTTACTACTCAGGGAATGAGGGTTACATCCTTAACCGAGACGTTATTTAGTGTTTGTTTGTTTGTTTGTTTGAAATTTTAGAAAAGATGCAGGAATGGTCGAGGTAAGTATACCGTACATTTATTATTATAATTTAAAATGAATACTACTGTCACTGTCTGTTTTAGTACCTATGTGAATCCATGAATATGCTTCAGCATGCACTGTGAGATGGACTTAAAGGTATAGTTCAAAATTAGCCCATGATTTACTCACCCTCAAGTCATCCTAGGTGTACCTTTGACATTCTTTTTCCAGACAAATACAATCAGAGTTATAATCGCATGAGTTACGCTTAGACTTATGTCAAATCCGTATGTTCATTTGGGCGGAAGCTAGTTATTTTACTTTATAAAGTTTTAAATATTAATATTTTTCTTACACAAACACATCACTTCAGAAGGCCTTTGTTAACCCCCCAGAGCCATGTGGAGCACTTTAATGATGGATTGATGCACTGTTGTCGATTTCAAAACAGAAACAGCCATTCACTGCCATTATAAAGCTTGAAAAAAACAGGACATTTTTTAATACAACTCCAATTGTATTCATAAGAAAAATGTCATATACACCAAGGATGATTTGAGGGTGAGTAAATCATGGGCTAATTTAAATCTTTGGGTGAACTACCCTTTTAAAGGGATAGTTTACTTTGAAATTAATTTTTGATATGTTTAGTTTACCTCAAGGGCATCCAAGATGTAGGTGTCTTTGTTTCCGCAGTATTTTCAATTTTGATATTTTAAGGTCAAACCGTTGTTGTCTGTCAGTCATATAATGCAGGTCTATGGGGTCCACCTCAAAGAGCATGCACAGAGAAGTCAAAATTAAACATGATTTAATGACTCGTAAATGTAAGTACACATTGATGGCCTAAGACACGAAACGAGTGATTTGTGTGAGAAAATGAACAGTATTTATATCGTTTTTAACCTTGTAATCACAGCCACGTCCAAGTGATCTGATGGCGCGGGCACTTCGGTCTACGCATGCGTCGGAAGTGATCTCTCATGCATGTATGTCACTCATTGTTTACACAGAGATTTTGGAAGTTTTACCTTTCACTGTAAAGATCTATTCTAAACATATTTAGATATGAGGAGTTATTTTCCAAAACGCTATAAATCCATTTCAATAGTTTTCTGGACATTACATTTTTTACCTTGGCCCACACATTTTGTGAATATTCAAATTATCCTGTTAAAATGTTTTATTGGTTCAGTCTGAACATGCTGAACAATGATTATTAAATTAAACAACAATATTGTTTATGATAAATTAAAAGTTAATTTTATTTTTTTAAAGCTATAAATCCATCCATTTTTTTTTTTCAAAAATTGATGTTTTGTCTTTAAAAGAAAAGGAAAAAAAAAAAAACAAGAGAAGTATTTACATGCAATATGTAATCAGGGGCTCATACTATAAATTAATATAAATTAAATTTATTAACACAACCTGAAAAAAGTAATGATAGTAATGTTATGTAAAGTTATTTAGTAATAAATTCAGAGTCATTTTTAGTAAAGTGTCAAACCTGTACCAATTTGTACCAAGTAGTACCAATTTGTCCACTACATATGCATGAAAAAACTTCATTAAAATTATCAAAAGTAGAGAATGGCACCCCTCCACTGCATGCACACACACATGCATGTATAGCAGGGGTCTCAAACTCAACTTAACTGGGGGCCGCTGGAGATAGAGTCTGGGTCAGGCCGGGCCGCATCAAGTATTCCAAAAAAAAAAAATTGTATTTAAGTATTCCAAAAATGGAACACAACTGATCCAATCTTCTCAATCTTTATTATTAACATTTCTTCTGAACCGTTCCTCTGAATTTGAACATTCCTTTCTGTACATGATTGGTTCTTCGTGAGCTGTCCTTCTGACAGTTGAAGTTCATTTTACAAACTTTCTTTGTCTTTTTCTTATACACAACATCTTTGTGATAGTCATATTTGCTTTTTATTTTCTTTATACAGCACTATTATATTAAATGTTCCCTTTCGTAGTCACTCCGAGTTACGTCGGATGACGGAGAATGGGGGTTTTGCATAGAAAGCCAATCCTCTTCGAGTATTTAAAAACGAGCCAATGGCATGAAAATGCCTTGGGGCTGTGGAATTTGCATAGCTGTAAAGACTCTGGGTCGGTTCTGATCAGGGGGGAATTTGCATATCATAATTAATAATTGATAATTAATAATTATTCATACAGATTTGGATCAGACCGGTCTTACATGTTAATTTATTAATTTTACCCATATGCATACATGTGCATCCCCGCAATCAACCACAAATTAATTGTTATTGATTGCAAGGACCACGTTTTACAAGACAGGCAAAATCAATTAGCTCAATAAGTTATATAGCTTGTGAAAACAAATTCTGTGGCCACTAGAATCTGCCTTCCCTGCTCTATAACCAAATACCCTCTTAGGTATTTATAGTTCTGTAAAGCGTGTAGCTTTAAATTGACATTTCATTGACCCGTATTATGAGCAAGACAATCAGTCAAGGTAAGCATATTTTATATTTAATAAAGTTACTACTTAAGCATTCACTACGTTACAATGATACAGGTATTTACAAACATTAAACACAAACTAAGACGACGCAGAGCGTTTAGACAATGGATACGCGCAAGTTAAGTGAGTTGGAGAGAGAGAGAGAGTGAGAGAGAGAGTGAGTTGTGAGAGAGAGAGTTACGTTCATCAAAACAGTCAGTTAACCTTTCTGAACACCACGAAAACACTTTCTTAACGCTTCTTAGAAGCTCTAAAAGAAGGTATACTTGCAGGGCACATTCGGTCTGTGTGAGTCGCGGGCTCGTTGCTCGGCCCGTTCGGGCCACGTGTCGGCTGGGGGCGCGCCTGTCCTGCGCGCGTGCCTCACGTGAAGCGCGGCCGCGGCGTGTTTGCGCGGCCCGTCCCGGCTCGTTCATGGCTGCTTTGTTCCGTGGGGAGTCACGTGGCGTTCGTCAGCATTTAGCGCGAGTGTTTGAAAGGCTGAAAGTCTTTGAGGTGGCGTTACCCGAGGAAATAGTTCGGCAAAGTCCACTTCCTTTCCTGGAAGACGAACTTGGTAGTCCACTTGAGGAAAAGATGAAACTTTTAGACGAACAAAAGGAAAGACCCATGGTTGGATCAGAGTCCCGTGAGGTTTACATGTTGAGCGCTGGAAAGTTCAGAAGAGAGCGCTGGAAAGTTCAGAAGAGAGCGCTGGAAAGTTCAGAAGAGAGCGAGGGCGGACCTGCGTTCTCACATTTATCACCTTGGAGAAATCCATCCCCTTCCTGTTGGCTTGAGCCAATCGGAGAGTGGCTGTTGCACGCGGGAAGCTTTCTTTTGTTCCTCAGCGCGCGCTTCTCGTGGAAGGGGGTGTGTTAAATGAGGGTTTTGCAATAGCAATTTGATCTTCATTGGCAGTACAACGAATTAAAAATACACTTTACTTTACATCTCTATGCATATTCGAGTGTTTCATTCAATAAGCATTCTAGAGATATCAAGGAACATTATGTTATATCAAAGGAATATACACTTATGTTTCAAATGCATGACGAAGGTATTTTTAATTCCTATTTAAACTGTGACCAAACAAAGTTATTTCACTGTGACATGGGGAAGACACATATACATAAAAACCATTGAAAACATTTTGTTGAATGTTTTTAAACACCAAAAGTCCTTCTCTTTGTTCAAAAACATTCCACACATTCCGATGTGTGGGGGAAGTGAAAGGTTTGTGTGTGCGTGTATGTGTTGATGTAATTCGCCTGGCCAAGATTCATTACATAGCGTATCTCCGCCCCACCTGGTGTATATAAAAGGAGGAAGCAGACGCAACCGAGTATGTTCTCGCTTCGGAGCCAAGAGACATCTTCACTCCACAAGCCATTATACTGAGTACTACCTCTTCGAGACGAACGTCCTCTCCAGTGTTGGTGTGACGGCGGTACCCAGCGAGATTCTGCATTGCCTGCGATCTGTGCAGTGGTCTGCCAGACTTTGCGCTTCTCCCTGGTCGCCTCAGCGCTGTGAATTTCCTCCTCTCTATTGAAAGAGCAGCACGTGGCACGTCTTTTTAAAGATGGTTCGCCCGTGTTCTTCTAGGTGCGATCGATTTCTGTCTTCCTCTGACGGGCACGAGCGCTGTTTTGTGTGTCTAGTCTTAGAGCACGCAAGAGCAGCGCTCGTGGATGAGTCATGTTCTCTCTGTGGGAACATGACCATCGCAACGCTGAGATCCAGACTCAATGATCTAACAGTGAGAGTCCCCGCCTCCGCTACCCGATCTGCTTCTTCTTCGAGGGGGAGCTCATCGGCTCGCGGACAGGGTGATCTGACGGTGACGATGTGGAACCAAAATCCAACGCTAGTTCCTCGGTCCACACCCCCCTCAGCGGCGTTGCAACCCGCTTCGCAGGTGCCGTCTGTTTCATTCGGTGCTCCGGAGGAGGACGCGATGTCGATCGCGGCATCACAAGGTGGGCTAGACTCCTCAGGAAGTGAGGATGCGGCTGCGTTGCCTCCCTCGGGAGCGCCGGTGTTGCCCGTGTTTGATTCCGAGATGACGGCCATGCTATCTTGGGCCGCCATGAGCATCGGCTGGAGTGGAACCCTCCGCCCTGCCCCGATCACTTACGGATGGATGATTGGTTTTTGGGCAAGGCTGCCGCTTCACGGCCACAGCCAACCCCAATCCCTTTCTTCCCCGAGCTGCATGGGGAGCTGACGAGGACTTGGAAGGCTCCTTTGACCTTCCGTGAGCGATCGTCAGCCTCCCCCGCCTTTCCTCCCCTCGACGACGCGGCTGCACATGGGTACGCTGGGATTCCTCCGGTGGAGCGCTCTGTTGCGATGCAACTGTGTCCGCAGAGCGCCTCGGTTCTCGTCATCTATGGTGGCGAGATCCTATAGAGCTGCAGGACAGTCGACCGCTGCCCTGCATGCAATGAGCACCTTGCAGGTTTTTCAAGCAAAGCTGCTCAGGGACATGCACGAGGGCGGGACTGACTCAGGGGCGTTCGATGAACTGCGTGCGGCCACTGACCTCGCTCTCT